CTCAGCACCGCTTATAATCGGTTCTCAAAAGCAGGCTATTAGCGAAAAAGGCTTCGATCGTTTTTGGGCTAAAAGTCGAGTATGAAATTGCTTCTCCACTCGTCTCTGTCCATCCAAAGGAGGTCCGGAATCTCTGGCTTTTTCTGGTAATTTCACGGTAACTGAAGCTGCTATTCGTGTTCACTCCGAAATGGTCCAGAAAAGGTGAGAAACGAGTCAAATATTTGCTGCTGCTTTTATGAATGACCACCTCAAGTCCCAAGCATTTCCTTGTTGGCCATTATGTAATCGCAGAACTAGAAAAAAAGCCACGACATCTTTAAATGATAGCCCCTCCCTATCCTTGTTGATTTTCTGTTGTCGTTGATCACAACTTGCTTCGCTCGAGGAGGAACTTGACATGCAGCACAAACTGAGAGTATCATACATCACTCATTCTGCAGGTTCAAGTTGCCCTTACGTAGGACATATGTTCGGGCCGCACGTAAGTTGACAACTGTCACAATGCACGCCTAGTCGTATATAGGAGCATGAGGATATGATTGATGCGAAATTCTAGATTTTGTAACTTGAGATAATGTTCCGGTGAAAATGTTTCTTTACACTCACTGAATTAACCTCGAGCAAACGGCCACGTGACAATGGCAGTTGTCGGTTGATTCTTTATCGAAGTCAAAGATTTTAGGTCTTGCTAAGTGAAGTTCACTACAGGAACGCTTCCGGGTAGTTTCTCACATGCGAATTCGTAATTATACATAGCCTAATCTAGGGCTATTCCATTCTTGGTAACCCAAAAATCAAAAGTTTTGGATTTTGCTGACGCTATATGACATGCTTTACGAATATCTTATTATATTACCGATTCTGAATGGTAGCGTCTTACCGTGGAGATACAGTGTATCAATAGTAATTTGGATCGACAGTTTGCCAAAAAAACTGTGTTTAATTTGACATGCTAATCACAATGCATCCACCATACGGTAGGCATACGGTAGAGAACGCTAATGCGAAATGGGTACGAACGTATCAGATGTCCAGAGAACTTCTGAGGCAAACCTTAAATTTAACTTCTCTCCTACATACATACTTATCTCCACAATTAGGTGGTGTGATGCGAACACATGTAATCACCATAATCAGTAATTCCTCGGGGGAACTTAGCGGCCAAAATCTTGAGTTTGTTGGGTCTTTGGAGAGGCTTTGTTACCATTCTTGTAGGTAAGCCGACCTTGCAAGGTCTAATGGGTGCGGCACCAACCTCCGGGGCAGAGAACCAACTTTCGCTACACGCGCCGCATCTAAGCACAGCGCGGCGTAGATGAATGTAGAGCTGAAGGTAGAGGACTGTTAACCGCCAAAAGGCTCTCGTGGACTACATATCCTATAAGATTGTAAGATGTAGCTATTGGAAGCAGTGAGCACCGTAATTAGACTAAAGAATTTTAGGAGAAGCTGATAGACACATTAAGAAGCTGCTCTACAGAAGAAT